GGAAATAAAAGCATGTGATGAAGGGGATGGGTGGGGAGAAGAAAATTGAGGCTGGAGGTTGTGGGAGGGGTTTGAAATAGATCCTGAAAGGACAGGAATATTGAATGGGGAGCTGGTGTACAAACGGGTAGGGAAGAGAACTGGGAGTCCGTAGGTGATAAGACTGAAACTGTAAGAGGATGTGGGATGGCAAAGCTATAAATGGCTGAACAAATATATTGGAACTGAGAACCATTCGCATAATGAGAAGATGACTCTGGTGCATGTGAGAAAAGTTGGTCAGAGGAAGAGGCCAGACTAGCTGGACATTAAGAATAAAGCCACGAGGTTCTAATAAATATGGAGGCATCTGGTGACTGGGGCTGGAGAAGGAGAAAACCTGAAAGAAGAGTAACTGGGACTGGCTGAGAAAGGAACAGGGTACAGTGTTGGTGGGTAGGAAAAAGTGAAAGAGGGCACATCTGAAGAAGAATTCTAGAATTATATTTCTAAAGCAAACACTCAAAACCCAGAAAATTAGTTAGTTAAACCTTTAAAAACCCAAACTAATTTGTATACGCAAATGGCCAGCTCAGCACCCAAACTTTCTTTGCTTTGCATAAAACAGAGGCATCAGAGCATTCTGCACTAAGGCACCAGTGGTCAAAGGGCTTCTCATAGGAAGAGTGCTGCTGCTCTGCTGCTGGGGAGTTAAAACAAAAGCTCAGAGGGAGCCCTTAAAGCACAGAAACTGCATTCCTTCCTACCACAAAGCCGCTTCCCCAATCCTTTGCATAACCTTGGTCTCCCCAGCACCTCCTCCCACCCTTCCTTCTCCTCCACCACCTCCTGCTACACCTTATCTGCTCTACCACATCCTCATTCTCCTTCTGTCCATAGACTGCTCTGCTCATTCTCACGTACTGCTTTGGGTCCCCAATAGTAAAAAGTAACACCGAGGGGGGCAGAAGGCATAAAGAAGGGGGATGTGGCTGTATGAGCTGAGAGAATGGAAAGAAACAGAACTGAAAAGCAAGTTGTCCAGAGAAACCTATCGAATTGAGTAGGGGCATGGATGAGGATCAGACTCCAGAGGTCCTTTCCAGCCTGAGTTTCTCTGTGCTTGCGTGTAGTGATGTGAGATGTTGTGAGGGAAATAAATGGGGCTAAAGCAGACACTGGATGAGTTAGGAAGGAGAATGTGAAAAAGGATATCTGCAGCCTACTGCTGTTTTCATCTTCTTTGGAAGAAGTTCGCATTCCCCAGCTCTTGGAATAGGACTCTGATGACTTCAGTTGTATACAGACCTCCCTAATACCCAGGCTGAACTGAACAACTGTATTGCAACATTTGCTGGAGAGGAAAGGTGAAACTTAGTGAAGTTGTAGCTATGTTAAAATCACCTCAAAGAGCAAAGCTCTTTGTCTACTTGATTGTAGGATGAAATTGGTGGATTCATTAGGGTATCTTTGGTTATTAAAAGCTTTACATTTTTAGTGGTTTAGGTATATGGATATGTGAAATTATGTGAATCTGAGTATTGCTTAGAACAAGGAAAGATGGTGAGATAGCAAGTCAACACACAAATAAGAAATAAATGCAAATTCTTGGAATTTGTGACCAGATTGCTGCAGTGTATGTGATATCCCAGTCTTAATACCAGTAAGCCATCTAGTTTGAATACTTAAGAGTGGGATTCCCATGGAGAAGATGCTGCTCTGGGCTTTGTCAAAGAAAAATGCTGATTAATTGTATTGTTATCTGTGGTAAAGTCTCTGCTGTTAATTTATAATATGCAATGAGAGTGAATTAGAGGAACAGAGTACTAAACCTGAATTGAGTTGTCATGTGATATATAAATTTGTTATGAGGTTGGCACTGTAGTATGAATTAAGCTTGATTGTGAATTGGCTTTTGTTGTGAGATTTGAACAAGGGAAGAAAATCGTAGAAAGATGGGAGAAAGAAAAAGAAATGCAAGTAATAAAACTGAACTGAGGCAGCAGGTTTATAGAGGAAAAAAATTGGCAAACACAGAGTACAAACCCTGTTGAAATAGAAAATGAAGACAAACACAGATTATAAGTCTCTAGCAGTATATGAGTCTGGAAGTGAGGCTATGAAGATAAAAGGTAATAAAGGAGGAGACAATAAAACAGTAAATGTGTTAGGATATGAATATATGTATTTTTCAGGAAATCTGTGGGATGTGATAAATGTGAACTGTCAGGTGGAAAATAAATGATAGCACCTTTAACTGCAGTTCTCCCTGCTGTAGCTGAGTAGCAGCTGAGAACTAGAAATGTCTAAAACTCTCTTGGGCTGGATAGAGCTAAAAAAGATATGGTATCTCTGTTTATTGTCATAAGCAGATTATCCCTCAGTACAAACATTGCAAATTTTTTTTACCTTGTACAACCCTGGTATATGGTTGGAGGGAGTCTAAAATATTGTAGGAGGTTCCGAATTTTGGATTTAGCTCAGTAATAACTTTCTGAATAATATTGTTCCACCAGAATTGGTTAGTCAGCAGCTAATAAAACTGCTAGATTTCTTTAAAGTAAGCTGCAAAGATCATATGTAAATTGAATATCTCGCTGTAGTTTGAATGCTTGCTATGAAAGAAGGGTTGTTGATCTCTAACAGCAGTGGGCTGCAAAATGTTCCAGTAAATTTGTGCTAATCGTAGGTCATCTGTACAGATAATGACCCTATCTACATTTTTCCAGCACCTCTGCCTGTCTGTCAGTTGGGCACTTTCAGAGAAAAGTATGCTTGCTTCTATGTAAATTTTCTGAACCAGTGATTTTGTTACATTTATTTTTATTTTCCTCTAAAACAGCCAAAGAGCTCCTTGTTTGCATATGCAACCGAATGGTGCTAATTCAGCTTGATTAGCCTGCTATCCAGAGCAGTTTGATTGGATGAGATACAAACGGTACTGTGGTGAAGAAACATCATCATTTGGTCTCCTTCACAGCTGCAACACATGATTATTCAGACTCTTTATGCCACAGATGAAAAAACTAACCAGAAACAGATGGGGATTGAATATTTTTAGAAACAGTATTTCAAAGTATTAACAAGAGGAAGAGAAAAAGATTTCAACTTTGGAAAGAAACAAAATTGTAGGCCTGCTTGTTAAACTATATTCAATACTATTTTAAAAAAGATTTTAATTATAAATAATAATGTCCCCAGAAATATTTTTCCTCGGATTCTTCAGTTTCCATTTCCATGTCACTTGTGGACAGAACCAGTGTAAAATGCAAATTTTTTACACAACCAGCTGTTCTAAAATAATATTTTAGACTAATGCTCAGACCTCAAATCACTCATTTAAAGCTTCTTGTCTTTTCTGATTATTTTAATTTTGCATTATTTTTCCAACATCGAATTGTTTTCTATGTGAGACATGCTAGAAAAACAGAAAACCTGGTCTCTGAGATCTAAGAAGGCTTTTTACAAGCTTGAAATATGTTTAGTGATCTCCTAAACATCTTCACAATTAGCTTACTAGTTTTCAGTTATCAGAGTTTTCCTGCAAGAGGAAATGATCCTTCTCCTCCAAACTACAGTGTCAGAAAATGATCGGTTCTGCTTTTCAGCTGTGTTTTTGATTTAGATATTTTTATGAAGAGAGGAATTAATCCTCCTGTTTTCTTGAATATCAAATCTGCAAGTCTGATAAGGGCAAATGTCTTTTATCTCTTTCTAGTCAATGGTGTACAGTCACCGTAACTACTAAGCAGAAAAGTCCTGAGTTTCTAGCTCAGGACTGAAGAAACCCTGATTATTTCAGTGTCAAGTGCTGCTCTAGTCCTCTGAGAGCTACAGTGTCTTGAGCTTTCATCCTACAATTACAATATGGATGCAGATTGAGTTTGTACAAGTCTTATTTAATGAGTTTTACATTATGTCCTGTAGGAAGTGAATTGTTACAATATAATTTTGGAAACAAAATCTCTTCTTAAATTGTTTCATAGCTTTTGACATATCCTAACCCTAATTTAATATAAAATACTTGACTAGGAGAACATACATGACTTTAAAGAACAGTAACGAAAAGTTAGGTTTCAAGATTTTTTGTAAAATGGAAATAAATTTTCTATAATTATTGCCTTTGATAGTGATAGTCCTTGAAGCCCTTACTTACTTTTAACCCCCAGTTGATCTCTGGCACTGACTGATGTATCTATTGTGTTCATGAACTGGGAACAAGATTTGGGAAGTGCTGCACCACGAACTTTTTAAAGCGAGAGCTTCTTTCTCTGGCTGCAAAGATTCACTGTAGCCCAGTGATGTCACCAGACTTTTCATTTCCACACTGAGACTGTTAGTGTAGATAAAAGTGACCACGCTTAGGTATAACTTACCCAACACAGGTCTGTAAGAAGTTCATCACTTTCAACTCTTTCTGGTTTCAATGAGGAGCAAGTTCTGAAAAGCTCCAAGTTCAGTTGAGTCTTCCAAATTGTTGTGTTTTGCAAGTTCTGCTGCTGCTTAACATTCTTAAACAAAACCCTCCTCTTTATTTTAGACCTTTCTCTTTTCACTTCATCAATTTCGGAATTTAACTTCTCTCACCTAGTTTGCTGGTTTTTGTTATATCATCCCAAAAGACAGTTTTTTCTATTGGTGATGATCACAGGCTATGAATATATGCAGCGATTCTGAGTATAAATAACTCATGAATTATTTTTCCAGTACTTCAGGTATGTACTGGAGTTGGGGTGAATATTTTGCAGCTTTGTTTGAAGTACTGTAACTGTGTAACTAAACTATTATAATATAGTTGTAGAAATGGCAAAAGAATGCTTCATTCATTTCAGTCATTATGACATCTCCTGATTTCTGAGTGCTTAACCACAGTCAAGATATGTTAACTAATGATAAATGCTAAAATGCTGATTTTCTCAGTGTTGGTTGATGTAGATTTTCTTATGTGTTTTCATGGGGTAACTTTACCCCGTGGTATGGGGTAATTTTACCATGGCATGGGGTAACTTTACCATTGTATCTCAGGTGTTGAATTCTCTTTTATTTTGCATTTTGAGTGTAATTTTTACAATGCAGTTGTTATTAGTTACTATTGTTTTACAGTAGGGACTAAATTCCACAATTAAAAGCTTAAAAACCTGTTGAAATAGAATTCTGCAAAAACACGATTAAAGACAACTCATTTCCCAGGAAGGTTCATAAGCTAAAATCAAGATACCACTGTGGAGTAAGCAAGCAACAGGAAAGAACAGGAGCAGGAAAATGAGTGAAACCACAGAAGAACATGGTTAATTGTTATGTTCTGAACCGGATAGAGCTATAAGTGGCACTCTTGGGATAAGCGATAGAAGTTATTCAATTGGCAGGGCTTCTTTGGCACAGGAAAAAATAATGATAATATATAAATATATTTTAAAATTGACTTTATTACTATAGCCTCTTCACAGTAATGTATTTCACCGAGTATCTCAGTTACTTAGTTTGACAGCATTGATATGTTTCTAAGTAAAAGTAGGGACAGATAGATAAAGCCCAGTAGCCCAGCATGCCTTTTGTTCAAATACCACAGGCGAGCTATATCTGCATAATTGAATGCACGTGAGATTTGTTTGTGAAGTAATCATTTATTATGCAAACACTAGGACTTCATTATATCAAATTTTATTAAATATGTACATGTTATTACTATTTAAAAGAATGAGTATCATTCCAAGATCTGCAAACTTCTCTCTAGCCTTGAGAGCTGCGGCAGAGCCTGTATTAATGCTAGTTTCAAAGCTGTAAGCTAATGCAGTGTCACTGTGAATGACACAGCACCACCTTTGAAGGCAAAACTTCATCAGCTGTATTCTTTAGTTCCAATACAATCAAAAAAATCTTTCCTGACAATAACGTATTTGTACATTGTTTAAATTTCCCAACTCTGTCCAACTTGGAGGATGGAAGCAAAGAATTCTGTCACGTTTAGGATTCTCAGATGCTGAAGAAGGGAATTCGTACCAGAAACATCTGACGGCAAAGGCCCTTTAAAGGCAGAGAAGGGGGCACAGGAAGCAAAGAGAAAGATGCGTCCATCTACTCTGCTGGTATCCAGCCTGGAGGTCTTAATATTTTTCTTGCTTAGGGTCCCATGGCCTCAATGAGGATAAAGCTTCCTATCAGTGACCCCCCTTCCCATCACCTCTCCACTAAACTGGTAGGTCAGCTTCTTCTTGACCTTCTTGACCTCCCCTGTCTTGCCGTAGTTTCTCAAAGCCCGTGCCATCTTCTGGTAAGTCATTTTCTTGCGATTGCCTTTCTGGATGCCCCAGCGGTGCGCCAATGCTTCTTTGTGTTTGGAGGAGAACTGGAAAGTACCTTTTTCCTTGTCCACCCACCAGATGCTGTCCTTCATGTCTCCACTGCGAAGAAGGTCCAGAAGGAACTGATACAGACGTATCTTTTTCTTGCTGCCTGTGTGAAAAACGAAGAAAAGCAGTGGAGCATTAGTATTATTGTGTAGTCCTTGATGAAACAGAAGAAATTATATAGTTCATATAACCATTTCAGCTAGCTTGTCAGTCACATAGCTTCTTCAATTTGCAGCCTTTATGGCAATAGAAAGAGTTATCCCGTGAGGACATAACATGGATTGCTGTTCCAAGAAATAAAAAATGAGAATAAGGAATTCCAAATTAATTTTGAAATTTCTAATTTCTAATTGAAATTAATAATTTCTAACTTTAAGATAATTAAAAACATTGTTAATTTGAAACTAATCTGAAGCTATTTTGGGCAGGTTACACAGAACCAAACTTTTAGGTACTGAGCAAACACAGCTCAGCATTTTTTAAAATCAGTTCCTTGAGCTTCTTGCCTTGTTTTTCCCATCTGCTAATGGAAGTGAGAATAGAAATGTCAAAAGCTGGGAAGAAGCCTGAATAAGCAGGGCTGTAGAAAGTAGGAATACAAGAAGAAATGGTATTTGAGATACAGACACAGTTATGGTCACAAAAGTTTCAGAAGACAAGAGTGCAAGGAGTCAGGGAAAGTGAAGCTTTGGCAGTGGGATAAAATACTAGCATGGCAGTTCTACTAGTTGATTCCTTATTGTCATGGCAATGTAACAGCTGCTCAGCACACAGCACAGGAAAGTCCCTCTGTTTTCACTGACCTGTTTCACTGTGCATAATTCCAGGCCCAGGGTCCACACCATCGGTCTCCCCATCTGACACCTCCAGTGGGGGGCTCTGCCTCTCTATGTCCTCCTCATCAGAACTGGGCTGCAGCGGAGAGGAGTACTGTAGGCACATGCGGGGCAAATAGGAAACCTTTGGGAGAAAAGAATAGCAGAGGGAGGAAGTAGTGATAGAGAGTGGGACATCAAGAGAAAAAAGGAGATATCATGGAGAGAGGTGCAGAGGAAGGGTGGGAAAGCAAAAGATACATGAGATTGTTTAGAGTGAGTGGCTTAGTCATTGGCATTTAAAATAAATACTATGCAGCTAAAAAAAAAACACATAACAGTCAACACTTATACATGTGCAAAGATGCATCTCAAATAAGTATTTACAAGAGGGAAGGAGGAACAAAACTGTGAAAGTTAGAACTTTCCCATAGGTTATATCCTATGCAAGTGATCCTGTGCCCCTTCTCCCATATCTCCCCAGTTCAATAACCTTCTCTTTCTAATTTAGACACATTTCTTCTTGCTGGGGGTAGAGAAAGCTGTGTTGCTTAAGTGGGAGAACCCTACTTAAGAAGGTGGAAGAAGACACACGCTACCACGTTTCCTAATGGGCTAAGAACCTACTCCATTGTGTTTGTTGTTATTGTTGTTTTGTTTTGGTTTTTGGTTGAATATATATTCATATAACAGATGCCACTGCCTAATACATTGATAATTATGTGAACGTTTTTCAAAAACTAGGTTTTATACTCAAGCCTTCTGTATAGAAAATGCTCTGTTGGTACTAACTGCTTTGAAAATACTTTAACTGCTTTCAAAACATCACTGTGTTCCTTCTATGTAGTGGTTATATACCAAGATAACATTCTTCCTAATGAGTTCCTGATCTGTGCTTCTTATCCCTAGTATAAAACTGCTTTTGAAAGGAACTTTTTTTCTAACATGGCCTTTCTGGAACCATGCTTTTAGATTTTGCAGATCTGATCAGTTTTGTCTTGGCATAGCCACGTTGACTGCCTTTGGCTCTGTTGTTCTACTCCTTTCTCAGACATGGTACCTTCTGACAACACTGCATCGCTGCAGGACTGCATCCATCTCTGGGGCCAGGGTTACACAGGTTTGTCAGCTTCTCGTCCTGAACTTCCCCCTTGAAGAGAGGAATAGCCTTACTGCTAGGGATATATCATATCGGATCATGTTCTCTTTTCCTAAGTGGTTATCTGAAAATTCCTCATCGATGGGGATTTCTCATCTGCAAAGCTGGCAAGCTGTTTTCTGTGCTGAATTCCCTTGCCCTTATATAGAGGTCTTGCCACAAGCAGTATGGAATATACCTCAGCTCTGCAAATTCTCAGTTGCTGTCTAGTTTGCTAGGGATCGAAACCAGTTGCCAAGAATTATTGCAGCTCCTTACTGAAGGAGAAATAAATCAGTCTGATAGGTGTGGAGTAAGAATTCAATTTCTACATTTAAAAAAAAAATTTTAAAAATTCCCCAAATTCAGCAGCAAATAAAATGTGTTTCTCATGAAATGAGCCAGATTACAAAAGGTGAGCTCCTTTTGAGTTGCTTTTTGTTCCTTCCACCAAACAGGGCATTTTGAGCGTGATTCCCTTTGTATGAGCTCGGGTGCTGAAGCAGGGAGTGGGCGTTGAGTGCGTGACTCACACCACCCACCCCGTGTCAGGCTTGGCCGAGTGGTGCTTTTCAGATGAGTTTTGCACCAGTTGAAAATGTCCCAATAAGGAGCGTGCCGAGCGCTGGGTTTGGGGTGCAGCAGCTGGCGGTTAGTGAGTTGGCAGATTGGCTGGAGCCAAGCGTGGCAGGAAGGCCAGGATTGGGTAAGAGTGTGTGTAAGCTTCCTGTCACATCCCCAAGAGCGAAACTTCAGCCCTCACCACAGAGTCACCTTTAGCTTTTTTACAGTTAAGAAAGCTGCGGCCTCTGGGGTGGGAGGGGAGGGAGAGAGAGTCTTGGGGGAAGGGGAATGACAAGGTGGAACCGTGTCTTATAGGGGAGGAAAACCGCTTGGTGCACCTGGAAAGGCAAAAGCTTTGGAAAGCTAGAGCGTGTTGAGGAGTGGGAGTGAGTTCCTCTGGGGCTGGAGGGGGAAGGTGGGAACATGCTGTGCAGGAGGAACAGGGTCTAAAGCAAAGGAGGTTGCTCAGACTAACCTTAGAACTATCCTAAGCTTCCCCTGCACCACCCCTCCTTTCCCTATTCGCTCTATTTTTGCTTACACACACACCTGAAACTCAGTGTAGGTCAATATATAGAGTTAAAGAGGTCCCACTAGTGCGTTTGAAGAAAACAGCTCATTAATACAACTCAGAGAGAGAAAACTTAAACTGCTAGCTGCTTTCCATATTCTGGTGTTGTCTCAAGGCCTGTGGCATCCACTTGTGGTTTTCCTCTTTCTAAAACTCTTCACAATTTTCCAGCCTTTCCTTTTCTTCATTTAGTACTTGAGGAGACCACCTGTTTGTAGGTCCCGTTGTCCGAGAGTAGTTTGAGCTTTGAATTTGATTTCACAAAATAATGTGGTATCAACAGAAAATCGGAGAAGTATCTTTTCGTGTTCTTCCTTTATTTGTAAACTGTAACTATGACATTGCACGACAGCCATGGGTGCAGTTAGTAACTGGCAAATTCAGCTGAGGAATAAACTTTGCTTCCTGCTTCTCTTTCCGTGGAAATGCCTTGAATAATAGTATGTGCTGCCGAGGACTGCAGCTGAGACATACCAGAGTCTGAACCCCAGGGCATGCTGAATACCACTTGCATGAGCTACAGTAGGTTAAAGTAAAAAAAAAAAAAAAAAAGATCCCCAGCTGGTAAGGAAGAGGAGGGTAATGGTGACTATCTCCTGCAGCTTGGCATGGGGTGGGGGAAACAGAACACAACACTCTATTGAAAGTTGCAACACAATTAATTCTGTGCCTGTACTCCTGAAATGAAAGATGGAAATGAAAGATGAAAATGATTTTTGGTGGTGCTTCCAAAGACACTCAAAACAAACCTAACTTTTCTTCTTTGCCTTTGGTTGGGTGTCACAGTTGGTTGTTATGTGCTAGCAGTTGCACTGAGCAACTGAAACGACTTGAAGCTTCCCACAGGCTTCTGTTCCATGAAGCGTTTTTTTTATATTTGTAACTTTCTGTTCCTAATTCTTTGTTTGTAACTACATCTTATATTCTATTCCTGATTTTATTTTTTTTTTGAGTTGTAGGTAAGAAGTTTGATGGTTTGCAGTAAGTCAGTTTCCTGTTGATAGTGTTAACTTAATCACTCTTTTTTTTCCTTGTTTTTTAATACAGTATTTGCGTACTATTTCAGTTTGCTTTGAACAAGAAACCTAACATAACAATTACATACATGCCGTTTTTCTCACAAAATCTTAGCAATGGCACCATTTTACACAGCAGGGTAATCAGCAAAAAATTCTGTCTCTGATCTCATTCCTGCTCTGTCTTGTATTCAGCATGTTATCTGTATCTTGCCTGCCCTGGGAAACTCCTTGGCACAAAATATCCCAGCTTTCTGATTGCTCCCAGTAATGACATGGAGCATAGTCTGTAGGATCTCAATGCTCACATTGTTCTAGTGTCTTGGCAGGACCCTGGAACTCCTTATAATTTCAGCTTTAGTGATTGTTCACTGGCACTTTGGTGATGACTGCACATTGGAATGCCTTTTTTTCATGGGCAGATGACTGTCTTTTTGTAAAATCTGAGAAGAGACAAGATACTGTGCCTCAGGTCATGATTCAGCTTCCTTCAGATAAAAACATGAGTAGGTTGGCCTTACTGTGTTTCACCGTGGTAATGTCACCAATGACTTTTCTTTGTTATTATTTTTTGCTCAGGTCAGGTAAAATTGCCAGGGATGCTTCGAAATTTTTAAAATATTCCTACCACAGTGGGGCTCAGAATGTTTCCCGGGAGGCATGGACACCTTTGCTATGGTAGTGCACAGCTTCTGAGGCCCAGTTCCTCTGCAGGATTTCAAAGCAATTGATTTTCATTCCAAATTAAACACAATTTTGAAACTATCTTTTTATGCACTGTTTGAGGAACATGGCTTCTCATCATCCAGATAGAAAGAAAGCTTAAATCACATTTGTCCTGAGAATGAGGAGTTTTATATCAACTACTGGACAGCAAAAATTCACATAATTTGTTTCAGCAATCTCTTGTATGCATTCCCTGACACATTCTGTTCCTTGCCCTTAACTATCATCTAAATTCTGCGTAAGGGTTGGTAACCGTACCTGATGATTGAGTCCAATATGTGTAGTTGGGATTGCAGAATCCAAGACATGCATTTGTTCAATCTCCATGTGCCTGTAGAGCTGCTGCAGCTGGGGAGGCTGTACACTCTGCAGTTCTGTGAAGTGGTTGTCTCCAAAGGTCTCAAACTCACTGTGCATGTGGTGTGGATGATATTCCCAGTAATGATCTAAAGAAAACAGCAGCTTGTCTGTCATTACAAAAGTAAGAAACATAGCATTTACCTGTCTTTCACTGGTCCCTCCTCCCACCGCTGTCCCTTCTGCCCACTCCATGCCATCCCTGTAGACCTGTCTGTCTCTGGTGACAACCTATATAGATTCCTGTGATGTTTCTCTTCCTAATCTCATAGGTGCCTGTGGTTGGAAAGTAACGCTCAGGCCACTTTAATTAGGACAGTGCTCTTAGGTGGAGTGATGGATTTCAATGATAATATAGCAGAACATGAAAAAGACATTAATGCTGGCACCTTTCTCAAGAAGAGACTCTAACAATCTTACGTTTTCATTCTCGAGGCAACAAATTATACTGCTTTACATATTGTTGGATTGTCATTACAGTTTTCTTCATGGTATGGAAATGAGCTGATAAAGATGATCTGAATATCATTCTACACTAATCTTCAATCTTTATTTTCATCTGCTAGCAAAATTTCAGGAACACTACAGAAAAAGCATGGGACTTATCTCCTGTAATCATGTGTTGATATGCACTATATTTTTCAGTAGCAATACCAGAGAATAAAAGAATAAACAATTTTGTGTGCAGTATTGTGCAATTCTAAATGAATTCTAATTGCTGAAGCAAATTCTAATGTAGCCCCTTTCTCTAGGTTTTTAATCTCTCTATTAAGCTAGAAATTTCTGTGACAATTTCTTTTTCAAAAATTTAAAAAGTACTCAGATAATGAATATACTGCTACTTGATTTATTAACTGTTGTGATTAGATTAAATTCTATACAGTTCTCAGTTTGAGATTGTTGCTCAATATAAGCCTCTCCAAAATTTTCAAAATGTTCAAATTTGCTGCTCAGAATTTAAAATCTGCTAGAGGGAATTTGAAGCATTGCAAACTCTATTTCTGCCTCAAATACTGTAGCTGCACGTATTTACAATTTTGCACGTATTTGTTTGTGCTCTTTTTTTAAAATCAAAGTCAACATCACGTCCTCTGCTCTGACTGAGCTTGGAATTAGCCCTCTGTACTTTAACTTCTCAGCAAAAATGTCTTGATGATTCAGTGCAACATTTCTAATTTATATCTTGCTATTCCAAGTTTTCTTCCTTTGTGTTATTATAAATAATTTCTTTCCTACCCTTCATTATTTTCAGGTTGTTACCATGTACACTTACAATCTATTCCTAATTATCACTTAGCCCAGCTGCATTTATTTAGCTCTCAATCTTTCAACATAAATCAGTATATTCAGCCCCCTAATCATGCTTGTGCACTCCTCTAAGCTCCCTCCCAGCTGTTGTTCTCATAATATGAGGGACAGAGCTGAACATATTGTTCCAAGGGTAGTTGTACTGAAGGAATAGAGAGGAGCAATTGTCTCATTCTGCAATATGATGCTATTGTGTATGACATTATCTAATGTCCTGAGAATATTATTTCCTCAGTACCAGTTTTGTTCTTTCTCTCAGCTTCTGTCTCCTCATCCTTCCTCACTTATGTTTCAAGCAATTAGGTGTAGCGTCACTGAGGGTTTGAAAACCAGGATAGTGACTTTGAATGTGACTTCCTTTGGAGAGAACCTGGTGATATGTTTAGTACATATCTGCATTTACAACATCACAACATACTTGTACATATATCATTACAACATACTTGTACTTGGGAAGCTGTAAGCCCTTGTAGACCTTTATGGCTCAGGCCTGTAGAAACGTATATGTAGAAATATATAGAAATATATCAAATACATCACCACAATGTACAGTTTAAATGTTCCCACTGTGTTTCACTCACTGTGAGTCTGACTGCACAGGTTATCACAGGTTATCCTCCTGGTACAAGGCTCTGGGCACTTTCAGTCTGAAACTTACTTGTTTAGTTGGAAGACAGATACAGCCTAACTCACGTTTTTACTGGGCTAAATTACTGAAGATTCTCTACTTAGAGCCAACCATGGAGGCCCGATATATCTCTGGTAACCCATATAATAAATTGTTGAGAATACACCACAGGAGTAATCTACACTCCTGTTCCTTAGAATAACCTGGCTTTACTCCTTGTGCAGAAGGTCCTCTGTCAGATGTGAACATATCTGTCAAAGACCTCTTGTCTTTGATGATCTAATACAGCAAATGAGATCAATGTGTAATCATGAGGATGACAAAGCCCAGGCAAAACTCTCTGAGGCTGTCAACAGTAGGTGTTCAGGTGTGGAGTGTCTTACTAGGAGTAGCTGTGGTGGTCAGGAGTCAAGACAGTGCATTTCCAACATGCATAGCCCTGAGTATTTGTGCAAACTCCAAGTGGTACCTTTCTGATTCTTCTTAAATGCTTTTATCAGCAGTGATGTTTTTGTACTTCAAAATAACTGTTAGTCTATTGGAGCCTATAATAAGGTTTCTGCTGCCTCCAGAACTGTTATTTTATACTTTCTTGGCAAATAAATTAACCTGTATAACAGTGTTTATGCATACTCGTGTTAAACACTATGTAACATTAAGCCTACTCGTTATTGAAATCATTTATTGAATTATGTCCTGCTATAAAAGCACTACTATGAATAACACATTTGAGGACTTACAGTGAGCACATAATACTAATAAGTTACCAAGTCAGAAACTACTTCAATAGAAATTTGTGCCCAAAATTGTGACTAGACAAAAGTCCTTATTTCTGTTTTAGTATCGATAGTTTCACAGTGATACTTAGGAAAAAAAAATATTGTTTTAGTTGCACTGAAAGTGAAATTCCGAATTCTGTGTCCACAGACTCCTTTGCAGTTACCCTTCTTGGCTAAGTTATTGCACATTAAAAGATTAAATAATTCTAGATATCAGTATCTGCAGGTATTAGAGATATCAGCTGCACTGCAGCTATTTCCTTCTGTGTTCTTGTTACTGTTACGTTAGCAATGCACAGTAATTCTGATCTTTTCACAAAAACATAAAGGTGGAGCAAAGAAAAAAGAAAGGAGAGAAAGATTCTAGAAATGGAAAGTGTCTATTCTTTGGGTCAAGGAAAATGTCATTAAAAACCAAGCTATAGGTATACAATGGAGTCATTATGAGAAATTTCATGTGAAGTGAAAGAGGATGTGAAAAAAATTCTCACTTATAGAGACATGGAGATCATGTTTGTTTTGGTGTTGTATGTAATGAAAGGTTAGAGGAAGGACAGTCATGAGTTCTAAACTCCCTCCCATGTTGGGAAGCAATACTGGACCTAAAGGCATTGTGCTGATATTCGCTGTGGAGGTAGATTCGCGCTCTACGAGTAAGAAACAGAACTGAACTTTCTGGGTTATCCTGTGCCTAATGTAAATCGCATTGCTCCTATCTGAATAGATGAATAACATCAGGACCAGGAGCTAGAAGGTGAAGTAGGCTTGGGAAAAGTATTTATAATAAAGTGGAGTAACAGGCTAAATATGCATCATGCAGTGCAAAACCTCGCAGAAATTCATGAGCCAGCTCTCGAACCGGAAGCACGAGAGCTCTTTCAGCACAGCCCTGTGCCCGATCTAAGATGACGACTCTGTTGACATGGCTCTGCTTGCGAGCTCTGAGCAGTATCAGTGTCTCTGAGCAGCCAGTTCTGCTCTATGCCGCACAGATACTCCAACTCATTTTGAGCTAGGAGAGTGTTTCTTACACATCACCACAATGTACAGTTTAAATGTTCCCACTGTGTTTCACTCATCTGAAAAAAAACAAGCCAAGAAAAAAAAAAAAAAGCAGCAGAGGAAATGAGAAAAACATTGAAGGACACTGAAAAACGCGTGTCTTGAGTCCCTGCAGAACCGCCCTCTGTTGAGTGAAATGCCGTGGCAATGCAGCAGGATAATCTCTAATGACAACAGAATCACATTAGCTCTCACTTTACAAATTAACAAACTTCATGGTTTTAATAATGCTGAATGTTTGAAAATCCATGAGTCAGGCCCCAGCACGTCACGAGAATGGCTTCAAAGTGAGGGGATTTTTTTAATGAAGTCTGGAATTCTTTCTATTTGCCTTATATTATTTCCGACTAAGGTTCACATGTTTGGACTTTCCTCCACTGCTACATGGGCTAAAATCCTAAAAAAAACTCAAAGCAGAGTTTCTTAAATTAGCATATTACTTCAGGAGGTGGGAAGAAAATAAAATCCCAGCCTACCAAATCTGGTAAGTTCCATGAGGCTAGCAGCAAAATGAGCAGTGGTCAAAATTCAGTTTCATACAAAAAAATATTTTTATTTAACCAATGACGTTTAGTGAATTTAGAGACAAAACTGCAGTTGAATTTTTGAATTTTGTAATTACTAAGATTGCAGTAGTGTTACAAAATACACTATATTACATTTACAGACTTACTAGCCTACAAGCTCAGGGTAGGGTGATGGACTAATCCTAATCACTTAAAGTAGTTTCTGCCTTGTATGACTGTCCCTGTGTTTATTACAGCATTTACAAAATAATTACACTGTATTATGTAAAATAAATGTAAACAATGCATGATGTGATTGAACATAGGGATTTTCTATGGTGTATTGTTATGTGTCTGATTTAGTGTTGACTTACTGGCAATAATCTCCTACATACTAAACTAGTGTTGTGTGCGCTTTGCTGCCAACTCAAGTAAACAAGGCGTAAGGGTTGTCTTCAGCATTATCTTCTAGAAAAGTGACAGTACTATGTGTAGCATAGATCTACAGATTAACCTATTGCCCTACCTCTTTCACAAAATTAATTTGCTAACAGTGAGAGAAAGGTAGTCTGACTCTTGAGCAAGACTTTGTTTCTTTAGCAGTCACATATCTGCACAGTCAGAAGAATTACTCTGTCTTGTAGTATCTATTTGTTTTATCTGGTAGCTTTTCTTGGAGGCCCACAGTGTTACTGAGTAGACCTGCAAAATTATATTTTAAATATTCCCAATAATCTCACTGTATCCCAACCTGTACACTCTTTCCTCAATTCTGTCTTACTTATTTCTTCCTTTTTCTTACCTAATCACGTTCTCACCTCTTTCACTTCAACACTATCACTGCAGCACCTTATTTATTAATTTTCCCCATCATTTGTTAATCTTTACACTTTTACCCTCACTATTCTGAACATTTAGTAATTTGTAATATCCCTTTCCAGCACTTCTGTATGGCTTTTCTCAAGACCTACTACTTATGTCAAGTTAAAAGAACAACAAAAAAAAAAGCTATAGTTGGGTTGATCAATGTTTATAGAAAAGAAGAAAAATGAGATAATTTGTGTGTTTCATTCCCCTCTGTATGCTGTGGTTGCTCATTGTTGTCTTAGATTGTGAGCAATTCAGGAGAGGATAGGGCACATTAGATATTTGGACATAAGCAACTACATTGCAGGCACTTTCATAAATAAAAAATCGATTGAAATATTCAGGCTGGGATTAAGTTGCCTCTTGCATAACCACTTACTATAGGAGTTAAAACATTAAACTTTTTTTTTTTGGAGTCTTTTGGACAAGTACTGGTACTACATAGGCCATAATGCATATAGATGACTTGGAGTTACTGCAGTGTTCATTATGATGAGTAAAAACATTCTAATGAGCTGAACACTGTAGCTTAGACACAGCCTTCCAACAGAAAAATGGGCAGTAAAACAGGTGAGATGATAAGTTTATGAAAGATAAAGGGGTGTTGTTGCTTGAGGAAACCTAGATTTAATGACAGAAAAGTTCTTTCCCAGTGCTTTTTTTCCTACATGACATCTTTTGTATTTATTGTTTAATGGTCACAATTGCCTTTTGAGATAATAAATTTTATCCTCATTTTATGGGTGTGTAAACAGGTACAGTTTGTATTGTAAAAACCCTGAATTTCCATGTGGAATTTGCTGGGTTTGATTAATGTGACTTGACAAAGGCCATGAGATAACTTATAAAAAATGAATCGGTTCTTTGTTTCCAGGCCTTAAGAATATCATTGGTGTTTTGTACTGAACAAATTTAGGTAGGAATCTTTTCCAGGTAAATGCCCAGAACAATCCTATTCTGTAACTTGCTGTCCCTTCAGGTAGTTTCTGTTGCCACAGATAAAACAGTGCTATGCTGTGAAGCTGTTAGATGTCTTAAATTGAGCAGTGATGGGTCTAGTTGCTATATCAATAGGAGTCTTTTAGGGAAACTCCAGGATCTGAAGGGACTGCCACAAGTGATACAGTAGAACGGTGCTTTTCCTTCTTGAGTCAATATTGACCCTGATATTTCCAGGGTGGTGTTGCTGGACCATTGTTTTGCACAGGAGACAAAATTCACAGGGCTGGACTATCCCTTCTACACTGATTTAGAGCCCAGTCCCCACAAGATGTGAAAATACAGAAGACACCAAACCTTTAAATCACATGTATAATGTTAACAATAATTTATTTTACTTTAAGCTAGATTTATGTACAAACAGCTACAAGGAAGTTTTACGTAGATTTAGAGAGAGGAAGTACTTGTGTGTACTGGAGGAAGAGTGAAAGTTTCAGCTACATGTGGCAGCATGCAAGAGATCAAAAGAAAGAGAGAAATACATGGAGTTGAACAAAGCCAAATGCCAGAGAAACAGAATTAAAATGAAGGCACTAACCGAGTATTTAGGACCTAAGTCAAACAGGAATTGGAGACAGGAATGCAAGAAGAGAAGTACAGTATTGCAAATTCATGTCCTTGGAGATTTCTGAAGCAAGCAGAGTAGTTTTGATCTGTAGAGGAAAGTTAAAACACAGTGAAGATAATGAAGGATAGAGATCATGAGGTCCCACGTTCCTGGTAATACACTGAATGTCCTGGAAGCTCCTTACATCATTCAGTGTTTTCTAAAATTCTCTTTCAGAGAAATCTGTGTTGCAGTTGCTGGATTGGAACAGTGCCATTAAGCAGAATAGATTGTTGTTGGTTTCTGATCAGAAAGTATGTGCCTGTACACTGTAGATCACAGCAGCATATTTGTTCTTTTCCTGAATGTCCTAAAATCTTTTTCCTGTGGTCTACCATGAGAGTTTATGCTCCAAGAAGATATTTTTTGACTTACCACCATGACTCTCTCCTTCACTGTTGAGATACTGGTAATAGTCATGGGGCTGTCGGTAGAGGTCTGACTCATAGGGTACCATATCTTCAGAGGGCTGTAATGAGAAGAGAAATTTTTAGAACTGTTAGCTTAGACAAATCCATTCAAAATTATTCATATCAGTTAGTGAAGAGGAGATGCCAACACATTTTATATTGCCTAGAGAAAGAAGGGGAGGCTTTAAGTTCTTATTGAACCAGCAGAAATAAAATGTTCAACACCAAACACTGTTTTGCAAAAAAAAAATAAATAAATAAATAATAATAATAGAAAGGGAGAGAAATCCATCTCTGTACAGCCAGTGAGAGCTTTCTGCTGTCTGTGTAACAGAATTTGTCCTGTGGCATTTTGTAAGTTCTTAATATCCCACCTTCCAACCTTCTGTCCAGCTATCTGGACATAAGGCCTGAGCCAAAATACCACTACACAAGCACAGCACAGAAGAGAAAACTTTAATTTGGTAGGGACAGACATTTATTCGTTTTCATCTTGTACACAGCAGAGAAAGCAGAAACTTGACTTGCCTAAGCATCTTACTCGGAGCGTTTCTAGGAGGTGACACTAAATGGTGACAATTTGTAGGAGGGTAACAATGTCAACAGAGGAAAATGAAAATGTTTTCTTTCTCAGTTTTTGTCCAAGATTGGGTCTAAACATTTGTTGGTTCAAATCATTTGTTTAGGGCTGTTTGTTATGCACAGAGAAGACTTAGAAAGTCTAAATGTGGGGCATACATTGAGTTGTGACCTATTAGACACTTCAGTGCAGAATTCAAGTTCTCTAACTTCTTAAAACAGGTGACGTAGGGCAACTTCCCTGCTTGTCTTCCTCACTACTCTGAGTAGTTAAATGTGAATACTGTTTAACTTCTTCTGTTGTTTCAGTAAAGGTTGTCTGTTATTTGTGCACAATTCTGTTGCTTCATCTAACATTTACTTTTTTTTTTTTTTTTTTTTTTTTCCAGAATGAAGAATTAGAGCAAGTTAAGTTCGCTACAGTCATTTCATCCACTTTGAAAAATGTTCTGTGATGTCAACAGCAATGTAGAACTCAAAAAAAACTTGGTATTTGCTCTGAAAGGAGACTATTTCTGCAAGGTACTAACAGAACCATTTTTCTCCTGTTATTGTCTTTAGCATAACTATAAAGAAAAGGACAAATTAAAAACAATATGGTAACTCACATGATAGACATATATGTGCATATGTTTATTCCTTCATATATTCACCAGCATTTGTAAGCTTAGGCAACGGTGACAGCATGCCAAAAACACAGGCAAGCTTCTCTTTTTCTTGCTCTTTTAGATTGCTCACAAAATGAAACCTGTGGCAGCAGCTGCCATTAAAATCCAGACAGAGATAAGCAGCTGGCAAAAGGAAAAGATTTTTTTCTGGTGAAAACTAGATCAGAGTTGCCATTTCTCATTAGCTCTTGTCTTTAATTCTTCGAGTTAACTCCATTGTTCCATTCTGCTGGAATTTTGTATTTAAAAATTGTCCATTTTCTAGGGATATGATTTCTATGATTTCTATGAGGAAAACAGATCAAGAAAAATAGGGAGTTGCTCCTAGAGGGTTAAGATGTTAGAACAGAAAAGGATAGAAAATACTTTTAGACAGTACTTTGGACCTTGTTGGATCCCTAATGACAGCTGTGTACTTTATCAGTGTATCATATTAGAATGTGCTGGTAAGATTGCCTAAAACATTATGACTTCCAAAATACAACCTGTCTGGTCATCAGATCCATTGAATGCTCAAAGCCTTGTGAGCAAATCAATTGCTTACTTGTCAGCTTCCAATATAATCTATAATTTATAGTGGTAGATAGATATTTTGGGGACATCTTGAGAAAATGATAGCCCACAATAAAGACAATGTAAGGAAAAATTGAAGTGAAGGGAATAAATCATGATTTAATTGTATCCACAGCAGGGATAACATTGAAGAGACTCCTTTTATTTCTGGTCTCTAGGTAATAGGTCCAGTCTCCCGCTCCAAATCAATATGATTCCAACAGAAGTAATGAGGCTGTGTTTTGCTTTCTTCATAGACAAAACAGGGGGATGAAGTTCTGAAAGGAATTTCTAGTTTTCAGTATCTTTGTAAATTAATTCACCCTATGCCTCCATTTCCATAAATATATACTTTCTGTTAAAATTTTGTCAGCCTGAAGAATATCAGCATTACGTTTCTGCCTTTATAACAGCCTTCATGTTCAGAAATGTTAATTTGTCATAACTCAGAGGAAAGCAATCATATTCTGTGAACAGAGAGACCTCAACATCCAAATAGAAAATACACAACGTACTGTGGGAGAAATCTAGGTTAAAGAAGTCATATAAATATATATCATTTGAAAGAAAAATCTTTGTTTCCTTTCAACTCAAATATGAGAAACCAACTGAAAGTATGCAAATTTTCCAATATCTAGATTCATCAAAAGTTGTAACTCATAGATATTTAGCCAAAAGTAAAAAAAACTTCCAAAGAAATCAGTGTGCAGTCTGTTTAAGCTTAAATTGCTAGGTATAAAATTTTCACTGCTGACAACAAAAGCTCTATCAGTCACACGTTTACAAAGACATAGCTTAGCAGGAAGGCCAAGCAACAGTCCAAAAATAGATAAATAGTATGAATTTTAGGCATGGCAAAGAACACTTGACTTGCCTAGTTGCATTTTTCCTTAGCTATCTTCTTCCCTAAGATTTCCCTAATCTTCTTCCCTAAGATTTCTCAAACTCCTACAGTTCAGTCCAACATACCCAGTAACAATCAATAGTCTTTCACAGTCTGAGAGCTAAGAATGAAGTATTTCAACTATCAGTAGCTAGTTTTTCAGGTCCAGATGTAAATGTTCATATGCATTCAATGACCAGAGCCAAAGGAAGGTGTGTTAGACTCTTAAAAAAGTGATGTCCCTAGTATTTACAGATCTTGCTGACTGCAGAGAGAGTTGCAGATACTCAGCATATTAAAAACAGTCTGCTTTTACACTCATCAGTTTTATATACTCTGTGTTGAAAGTCTGGAACTTAAAAATTCTTTCTTATGGATTGTAGGAATTTTCTTCCTGGATTTTTTCAATATTTTTTTTTCTTAGTGGTCCATTGGATAAATATTTGTATGTCTGTCTGTATTAACTCATGGAACCTGGACCAACCCATCACCACAAAGGATTTGAAATGGCACCATTTTTCATCTCGGTGTCTGATCTTTGAGGGTACAGAAGCTAATATGGGAAGATTTATATTAAATGTTATTTGAGGTTGTGTATCATATTTTTCTTGATTACCCTTATCTTATGGGAAGGTGAAATACTTTCCTTTATTCATTCGAGAAACTATTTCCAAGAACCTGTTTTAATCTCTCTCTAACTTTTTTTCTTTAAGATTTATTAAAAGCTCATTTTGCTCTATTTAGAAAGAAGAGGTTTCGCCATGTGCTGCTGGTGCCTCTTGCACCAATCATTACCACTTAATTCTGTCCTTCTCTGGAACCTCCCCACCCACCCACCCACACATTTCACCATCTTACTTACGAACAGTACTGCCATGACACTGAACTGTTTTGTTTGCCCAGACAAAAGGCAAAGAATGGCTTATTTTATGATTTCGTTTTTAACTGATCTCAATGGGCATTTGTTCTATCAAGTGTTTTCCTGTAAATACTGAGAGAAAGCTTTGTTAGTAACCCATAGCTGTTCCTGAAGTTGATCTTCTTTCCTGTATGCCCTGAAGTGCAGTGAGTTACCTAAGCCCATAGTCCAGCATCAAGAAAGATGTCAGCAAACAGTATTCTGTCTGTCACAAACTTTGGTAAATGGAGAGTTGCTTCCATCTTCCTTCTTTGCTCTGAAAACCAAGGGAAAAGCCACAAAACTACTTGGAGAAAGCTTGGTTGGCATCAGTTACGAGTGATACAAGGGACTCAACTGAATAACTACCTGAACATTCTTGTTATTTACCAGGACGTTGACAGATGATTCTAGGTGATCATAAATTCATTGAATGCTGATCTTTTTTTGTTATCCTGACATAACTATTCACTGGCATGTGATTCAGAAATACTCCACAGTTTCCAATGATGTGCTTCTGAGACTAGTTTTAAGGCCAGGATTAACCATATTTCCTTGGGAAAAATTTACAGCATAACTATTTTAGAAAAGATGAGTAAAAATCCTAACACACTCACTCAATGGGCCAGCCTCACTGGATCGCTGTGCTAAAGCAGTTATATGGAACAGAGCACTTCTGAGGGACTTTTTTGCTCTCAAACCTCCCTTCAGAGATGTGATTTCTACAGGTGGCTACTTAGGGATTCATATATAACTGGGGCCCTCTTTATGTAAAGATGTATTTGGTTTATCAATTTTCTGCCCAGTAGCACAACTACATTCTCTCATGCATTGGAAGGCTGGGGCCCACGTTACAGAACTCTTCCATGCAAAGATTCAGAGTCTTCAGAGAAAGATGCAGTACTCCTCAACCCTTTAAGCAGCATTTTCCAAGTGAGGGGTAAGAATTTCCTACCAAAGTCGAGAGGAAGGCAGTTACTGACCCACCCTCAACTGAAAGGGGAGGGGCAGAGGAGGGAAGTGTTGCTTCACAGGAAGCCCTGTTGAATACCTCCCCTCAGAAAAAGTCCCAAGAGGCACAGACATTTGTAGTGATGCCATGTGGGGTTCAAACTGGCAGTGTTCAAAGTGCGCTTAAAACAATTCTGAAAGTACGAAACACAAAAGTATTGATTTTTGAACATATTAATCGCAGCAATCAAATCCGAATTGCCCTGCCAAGTGTTCCTGTAAGATGTAATCACATTTTCACTGCCTCTTGTATCATTCACCTGAACACAGCTCAGCCTGAATATTAATTGCAACACAAATTAGCATGTGTGCGAGACTGTTGGAGTTTAACTCCATTTATTCATTTTATGCACTAGAATTCAATACTGAAATAAATGAGAAGTTAGCTATGAGTGAATGTGTGGACAGAAAATCTACAATAATAACAAAAATGAGATGCTGGTTTCTGGGGTAGTTGAGGACAAGGTTTGGGTGGTTTTGGGGGGATTTTTTTTAAGCTCACCAAGTGACATATTGAGAAATCAATGTGTTATTTTTTCATTTTCTCAATTTCTTTTTGGCTTCCTATCCTGACATACTTACAATAGATGCACTGGCAACTTGATTTGTTCAAAAAAAAAAAAAAAAAAAAAAAAAAAAAAAAAAAGAAAAAGAAAAAAAAAAAAAGAAAAGTTATTTCAGGGTCTTCTCTTTGGGTAGATAGTGGATTTCAGGGACACCACTGATAAACTGCTAGAATAAAGGACCTCCCCAAAATAAGAAAAAGTACTTTTTCAATCAGTATGGATACCAGTCAGGAGTAGAATTCAAAGGGCCATCTTTCTTAGGGGAAGATAAAGAAACATGGCTTTAGCCTTCAGTAGATGAGACAATGAAAACATGACATGAATGGAACAAAGAAAACGTGATATGAATTTTGTTAGAAGGACTATTGGATCTACAGTGTCTTTTTTTTTCTCTTTTCTGGACACATATACCAAGTGCTATAAGTCATCAGCCACATAAAACACCTTATCTGACATCTCTTCAGCTTCTACAGACTTTATAAAATCTTGTTAGGGCCTCTTTTACCCATTTCGCTTAGAAATTTCTTTTTTTTTTTTTTTTTCTCAACAACAGCTTAGTGCCATTATGTTCTTCATAAAGACTATCTCCGAACTCATGATGGGATACATAAGAGTAGCGTAACAATACTTCAGAGTTACAGAAAGGATACAATCAGCCTCATAATCATACAGAAGAACTTGTGTCTAACGGAAAATATTGAAAGACCCAATTAAGAGCAGTGTGATTTTTCCCTCATTTACCAATTGCTTTTTCAAGCAAGTGAATTCAAGAGAATTAGTTCAAAAGAAGCTGGAGCTAGAGACCAAAATGCCATAATTACAAAGAGCACAGAGTCCTAAAATTTGCGATACGTAAAACCAGTATTCAGCAACATTTCTCTCACAGATTGGTAGAAAGTTAAATACGTAAACTATGTCAGTCTTCAGATTATTAAAAATTACAATCTGAAGCAAAACTCGGCCTTTTACCACAAAGCTGGCGCTGAAGAAAAAAAAAATTACTGACTTGCTATACACATACCATACAAAACTACCACACATTTAATCTGTGAAAACAAATGGAGATCAAGATCAGATACAAGTATAGGGAGGAAATGTTAATTTCCCATTCATTGTAACGTTGTCCCTAGCTTTATATATTGACCAGAGCCCAACTTCCTGGCATAACAAATACAGACCAAAGGAGGATATTCTCAAATAATAAAATCTGGTTTACTCTGTCTTTTGCTACTGAGCCCAGTGATCCATATTAGGAATAAAGCCCATATACTCACAGGGGGAATGAGGGGAAATCCTTCCATTTTGCAAGCTTGCAACATTCAGCCAACTTCTGAGTGAATTTTTCTTAATTCAGTTTTCAAACATCCAGAATAACTGACTTGAAAAATCACATGAAACAAACAAAATAAAAAACAACAACAAAGAAAAAAAAGAAAAAAAAGAACAGAAGTGAGATCCTTGGACTCCGTGAAGTCCCTTTGCAGTGGTGGATCTCAAGATACGAGAAAGACCCTAACAAGTTTTCATAGTTTGCCCTAATAGGTTCTGAGGTGAACTTCTTCCCGAGTTGTATTTGAAGTTCCTGATTTTATCAAATGTCTGTAAAAGGGAGATAGCCCTTGGGTCTATCAGTGCGCTGTGACATCACAGCTTTTAGCCAGTTTGCATAAATCTCATTTCAGGGAGCTGCGGCACTGTAACAGGAAGTCTGCCCCGAGCCAGATCTGCCATGGGCAGGTGCTTACTGTATAATCAGCAACCCAGAGCCTGTGCCTGCTACCAATAAACAAGCATACGGGTACAGTGAGCTGGGGAAGCCTATGTGTTTCCCACTGTGGAGGAATCATAATGATGGTGCTGCTCTCTGGTTTAACGATCATAAAGCCTGGCAACTTCTGTGAGGACAGTGCAGTGGCATAGCCTTGCTTTAATAACATTTCTGTGTTGGAATTATGTGACAAAACTTAGAATGAAAGAAAAAAAAAAAAAAGTATGCAGTATCAGGTACAGTCTTAAGTTTCTACAAAACACTGCATTTTTTTTTCTTCTACAAAACCAGTGTTTTATAGAAACCAAGCCCGTGAGACTTTCTTCATAAATTTGGCTATGGAACAAGATTATTCAGTGAAAGATACTGAGTCCTCTTACTTGTTTCTTGTGATTTCTCTTCTTTTCTAGGTACTGCAAGGAGAGAGCAAGTGGGAGAAAGGAGAAAGTGTTACATGCCCCAAATAATGGCTTTACTTCTCACAGAAAAGTACCTTTAACAGTGAGTAGAGAATGAGATTTGTAAACTTGTATCTGAACAGTCAGATGCTGAAACTTCATGTAGAGATTTTGCTTCAGTTCTTTCCATGTTTTTTCCCCTCTCTTTATCCCGCTTATACTTGCTACTGCTTTGGCTGCACTGAACGTGTGTCCTTTTTAGCAAGGTCTGGGCAGGAGCAGTGTCAGAGGCGAGTGGGTCGCCGTTCAGGATGCAGAGGGTGGGCCCTTGCTGCAAGGGGAGAACTCTCTCATTCTGCAAAATGTCTTCTTGCTTTGCATTTAGTTACTAGTGTCTTGGAAAAGTGAAGTTCCTTTGTCTGGGTTGTTCCCCTTCAATCTATGCCCATGTGCCACAGGTTCTGCTTTTGAAAGTAGCCTGTTCACCACTCACCTGGGTCTATGTGTGAGGGGGAATTTCAGCCACTACAAACTTCCTCCCTCATACACTGGTAAAACCAGAGGCCACTCACAAGTTCCTCTCGTTCCCCACCCTAAGGAACCCAACAAGCAAACCATATTAACAATTGGATAAGATCAAAATCATGATGGAAGATTAACTCTTGAAGCCCCAGATGGAATTTCACTAGCATCAGTTGATCCATGGGCATTCCATTCTTATTTTACTGGTAAATCTTGACATTAAGCTAGAAATAAGCAAGCTGCTGAACAGTCTAATTCTGTCTTGAATGATGATTCTTCAGTCTCCTTTTGGATAAAAGCCTGGGAGTGATCAGATCCACGTGGGGGAACAAGAGAAAAGACAAAGTACAATCCTGGTGGTAAAATTTGGTGAAAACAGAACAGAAGGGAGTGAACAATAGCATACACAATCTTAAAGTGGATCACTGGATAATAGGTGATAAAAGTAACTGTGGAAATTGTATGTGTATTAAAAAGACTATTCTGAACAAAGATGATGTGCAATCTGATTCTCAGTATGCTGGAAGTTACCTTAAGCAGTTACTGGAAGGTTTAAAAATGTTTTACAGAGAGGGTCTTCTATTAAAGGGGAATGTAACTGTGCTTAATACACTGGAGGATATTTCAGCACTGTCCCTTAGCACAGGAAATTGCCTAATAAGGATAGATATTTTGTACCAGCCTTAATGCACTCAGGGAAAGCTAGATTACCAACATTATCAGAATTAACAACTGTGTCTAACATATGAGTGATCATAAACACATGAAGCTTATCAATATAAATCTTCAAATTTATTCTCTGTATAATGAATGAGAATAAAACAATTGGCCATAAAGCTTGGGGAAGGGCAGGAAGTCCAGAAGTTGATTAAGCTTCCTAGGAAGGAAAGAATCTCCATAAATGGAAATGCTAAAAATTAAACAAAAAGCTCATTTACACTATTATAGCTATTTAGAAACATCACCAGTACCAATCTTGCTAAAATTCAGCATAGATGATTTTCTCACTGTTGGATATAACTGGTATTTTATCCTATGTTTGTCATCACAGAATCTTCTCACTCCTAAAGGAAGGCCTACTAGAGGAAGTGCTTTTGGCCCAGATCCTTGCAACAATTTATTAGGTGATTTAGATGCAGAAGAACAGATGAAGTTATCAAACAATTGTGTGGTAGAAAATTGATTTCTAGGGATATATGATGCCAACTGCTTCAAAAGGCTTTTGAATTAGGGTAGGGATCCTTCTCCATGACGGGAATTTGGCGGACTGGAGATGAAACTGCTGAGCTGAAAGATTAAGTTTCTGAAAACACTTAATATTTATATTAATCTGAGATATTTTCCCTGTCAGCATCACCTCACTGTGTGCAGCTTCTTGAAGCAGTTCCTCTCCTATCTCTACCTATTTATTCTTCAAGCTATTTCTAACCGCAAGCTGCCAAAGCAAAAGGTTTTCAGCTTGCAGCCACATCACAGAGAGGTCCCTTTACCTCAAACCTTGCTTGGTGCTCAGAAGGTAATTTTTCTCCCTGCTAAAACCACATACAACATCACTCATTCTGAAGCCTTTTAAATCAGAAGCAGGTGTTTACATAGATTCTGCTACCGAGTTTGCTTGTAACAGTAAGGACAAGACCTCTAAACAAGAGATTCCCTTCTATCTTCCATATTCTTCCCAGAGCTATGTTCTCCATTGAACTTGTTTTATCTAGAGTTGATGTACTTTGTGAATCTTCCAAGACTGAATATCCATTCAGATAGCATGAAGGGTTTGCCTTCTTCTCTTAAAAGAGCTTTTGAGTCTCTCTGACTGTAGAAGGTGTTGGGATTAGAGCTGTGGAGTACAATCCTCTCCATTTAACTCTTCATTACCCATACCATTACTGAGATGAAGACACTGAGCTGAAGTCTTTGTTGCATTTTTCCATTATGAAAGAGTAGCAGCAAGAACATGCCTGCTGCAAATTGCTGGATGAGAAAAATTTGTTACCACTTTTTTCTCATGTGGAGCTTCACCTTTGGCTCCTTGACAGTCTGAATGTAGACTCCACTGAAATATGTGCTCCCTGTTCCAATGTGATCAATCTCTCTGTGATGTTCCTTTGTGAGACCCATGGGTTTATTAGGATGGATACAGCTGAACAAAGACTTTACTTGGCTGTATGGGCATCCTTCCCTAGAACTGATGCAGTTTGTAGTGGCAAAAAAGTGCTTTTGACAGTTTGAGCTTTCATGAATTCCTGTATGTAACTGCATCTGTCCACTTTTGCAAGTGGGAAATGTCATAAAAATGTCATTAAAATATCACAGTCTTAACTGACTTCACTATGTTGGCAAAGACTTTCAAGTGTATACTGGACTAAAACCAAATCAGAGTGAAGATAACTGTTTTCTTTGAGAGAAAGAGGAATAATTTGGGTGTGTATTAATCCAAAAAGTTTCATAGTTGTTTTTTTTTTGTTTGTTTGGTTGGTTGATTTTTTTCATTTGTTTTTTAGGAAACATATTATGATACACAGTCACTTGCACTAATGAAAAGCACTTAATTTATCATTTTATTAGAAACTTTTAAGATGTTCATAAAGCAGAATTCAGCAAAGTAGAAAAAATTCCCATTGGCAATTCATACAGCTTCAAGATGTTGGCATCCCTGCCACATTTGGTTATTTTCTTTACATGGAAAAACTTGTTTTGGCTTGCAGGCATGTTCAGACAGGTAAAATGTGATGTTAGTTTTTAATGGTCTTCTGCACTTCTGCATTCTGAAGGCAACAGATTTTCAATTCACACATTCCTGCTCATTTATAGCTATCTAATCTCTCAAGACATTCATGTCATCTCAAACAATTAAAATGTAGCAGTGTCCTAATGCCATCTACTCTACATTCCAGAGTCAGTTGCATCAGTAAGATGCAAGCAGTAATGTTTAATATCCCTTCACAGAGTTATGCCTTGAACCTCCTGTCTAATCTCTTGGTTCCATGTAAATGAATCTGTCAGTTTCCCTGAGTCCCCTGCCGAATCAATTAATTTTGACTTTACTAGTCAAAATTAAACTATAAATATGAGGTGCATCTGTGATGTGGCTCAATAAGGGCATATCTGTAGTTGCTGAAAACTTAACAACCACCCTGTATCTGCTTTGGGGTGACATCTCTTCAGACTGGCTCCAGCCTGATTACGTGGACTGAACTCCCCCATTTGTAGTTGCAATCCTGAGCTGCATCTTCCAGTTCACTGTCATAGGAATGAATCCAGTTTGTGAGCTCTCAAAGTGCTCTCTGGTGCAAATTTCTAAAAAAAATGCACTAAGTGGAAAGGATCAGGAGATTCATTTTGGAAGTGCACTTATGGTCTCGACTAAATTGCTGATCTAGACCCACCATTAGGATTCTATCAGTGGGGGCCATAAGGGACCGCCACAAGCTGCATCAGAAATATCTCTGCTATGTGAGATGTGATTTGGATATTTAGTTAACGGTTCTGTTTTGAGAATGCAGCTGTATCTAGGAAGATGGCTTTCCACACTTGCATCTCATTAGGTTTGTATCTCTGGGAGTAATCTCCCAGAATTCAAAAGAGAAGAGCACAATTCACAGATCCCCAATTCTTTAGGTAGATAGGTTACAACTGCACTTCCTGTTCTCTGCCATCACTTTCACAAGGGCTTTGTGTCCAGAATTTTGCATATACAGAAGAACTGAAGCACAAGAAGCCAGTGCTCTGGGTACATCCTCACAGGAAGCATTTGGCTGTGTAAGAGCTGAACTGTGCATACAAACCCCATGCTACAGCTTTATGTGACACTTGTATGACTGGGACAGGCGTGTATGACTTGCATATGACAAAATCTGTAGCATATTATCTAGAGACATTTTTCTTACAAAAGTAGTTACTGATAAGAAAAATTGTATTTGAAGTTTTTATTTATTTATTTATTTATTTTTGAAATGCTAAGCC